GGCGGCGGGGCCGCCGACGATGAGGGGAGGACGAGGGGGACCGGGATCGGGCGGGGGCCGATCCTGATCGGCGCGAGGGGGAGAAAGGGGATCGGGGGGAGGAGTGGTTGCGGTGTCGGGCTAGGGTTCGGTCGCCCAGGGGGTTATGGGGGAGGGGGCCGGGGTGGGCCGGCCTGGTGGCCAGCTGGGCCGCGGTCCGGGGGGGGCTTCTCTTTCTCTTTTTTTTTGTTAGTTTTGTTTTCTGTTTTTTTTTATACTTTGCTTTCTTTTAGTTTCCTATTATTTTAGTTTTAGTAAATTACCAAAGTGGCACCTAAATAGGATTTTACAAATTATGCCACTGCCACAATAGTTTAATACTTATAACAATTTAGTTTTGAAAATGTTTATTATTTTTAAAGCATTAAAATAATTGTTTTTGCTACTCTTTTATTCATTTAACAGTATTTAAATATTTTATAAAAGTGTGGTTTCTCCACCATAATTATCTATGCAATATTTGGTTCACTCCGAATATTTTAGTTTTAATATTTGAAAACTTTTATTGTTTGCCTATTTTTGAATTTGAATTTGAATCGGTTTCGAACTAACTCGAGATTAGCAACTATAAACGAGGTGACGTGGCACCATTAGCAGAGGATCACTGTAGCTTAATTACCCGGGCGTCACAGCTACGATACCTATCACTTGCTTATCATGCCTCCCACATTGCCATGTCAAACTTCTAACCCACCATGTCCTAGCAAACCGTTGTTTGGCTATGTTACCGCTTTGCTCAGCCCCTCTTATGGCGTTGCTAGTTGCAGGTGAAGATTGGAGATCGTTCCTTGTTGTAACATTGTTTATTGTTGGGATATCACAATATTATCTTGTTTATCTTAATGCACCTATATACTTGGTAAAGGGTGGAAGGCTCGACCTTTTGCCTAGTGTTTTGTTCCACTCTTGCCGCCCTAGTTTCCGTCATATCGGTGTTATATTCCCGGATTTTGCGTTCCTTACACGGTTGGGTTATAATGGAAACCCCTTGATAGTTCGCCTTGAATAAAACTCCTCCAGCAATGTCCAACCTTGGTTTTACCATTTGCCACCTAGCCTCTTTTTCCCTCGGGTTTCCGGAGCCCGAGAGTCTTCTTTATTTAAACCCCCCGGGCAAGTGCTCCTCTGAGTGTTGGTCCACCTCGTCAGCCGTCGGTGGCCCAGGGGCAACTCTGGGCTGGCCTACCAGAAATTTGGACAATCTGAGTGTGCCCTGAGAACGAGATATGTGCAGCTCCTATCGGGATTTGTCGGCACATTCGGGCGGTGTTGTTGGACTTGTTTTACCATTTGTCGAGGATGTCTTGTAACCAGAATGCCGAATCTGATCGGATTGTCTTGGGAGAAGGAATATCCTTCGTTGACCGTGAGAGCTTGTGATGGGCTAAGTTGGGACTCCTCTGCAGGGTTTTGAACTTTCGAAAGTCGTGCCCGCGGTTATGGACAAATGGGAATTTGTTAATGTCCGGCTGTAGATAACCTGAAACTTAACTTAAATAAAATGCACCAACCGCGTGTGTAACCATGATGGTCTCTTCTCGGCGGAGTCCGGTAAGTGAACACGGTGTTGGAGTAATGCTTGACGTAGGTTGTTCTAGGATCACTTCTTGATCATAGTTGTTCATCCGTGCTTTGCCTTCTCTTTTCGCTCTCTTTTGCGAATAGGTTAGCCACCATATATGCTAGTCGCTTGCTGCAGCTCCACATCATACCTTTGCCTTACCTATAAGCTTAAATAGTCTTGATCGCGAGGGTGCGAGATTGCTGAGTTTCTGTGACTCACAGTTTACTTCCAAACCAGATGCAGGGACCGATGATACCGCTTCAGACGATGCGCAGCTCAAGTGGGAGTTCAATGAAGACTCTCCCCGTTACTATGTGTCTTTCCCAGATGATCAGTAGTGGTGCCCAGTTGGGGCGATCGGGACTTTTTCGCATGTGGGGTTTATCTTTATTTTGGTACCATAGTCGGACCATGAGTGTATTGGATGATTCTAATGTTATTCATGTATTTGTGTGACATGGCGAGTGTAAGCCAACTATGTATCATTTTCTCCTTTTATTTATTTACATGGGTCGTTGTGAAGATTACCTTACTTGCGACATTGCTTTCAATGCGGTTATGCCTCTAAGTCGTGCTTCGACACGTAGGAGATATAGCTGCATCGAGGGCGTTACACGAGCCGCGTCGAGGAGATGTTGGGCTACTCACCTCCGAGCCGCATGGTGGCGCCTCCCCCTGAGATGTTGCAGTACAATCTCTTGCTGCACGTGGACCGCATCGAAGATTTTTCCTAGACACCGTCTGAGCACTGTGGAAATCAAGATTTTTATTACCTTTCGATTTTTTCAAGGGCTTCACAAATGTTTGTCACCTTGGGTAGATGCCATCCGCAAGATAGTAGTCATAGTTGTATGTATGGCCATTTGCTACAAACTCCACCGGTGTAGCTTCAACATTTGCAATCTTATTCATGAGTGGTGACCGATTAAGAACATTGATGTCATTCAAAGATCCAGGCATTCCAAAAAAGCATGAAAAATCCAAATCTCCTGATCGGCCACTGCTTCAAGGATTATAGTGAAACCCTTTTTTTGGCCGTGAAATTGTCCATGCCATACCTTAGGACGGTTCTTTCAACTCCAATGTACGCAATCTATTGATCCAAGCATACCTGGGAACCCGCGAGCTTTGTTTATCTCCAAAAGCTTTGTGGTGTCTTTAGCATTGGGAGCTCTCAAATACTCCGGACCAAACACTTGCACAATTCCGACTGTGAAGCGCTTGACACACATGATGGCTTGACTCTCACCCATGGCCAAGTGGTCATCAACTAGATCAGCCGGAATACAGTATGCCAACATACGCAAAGCGGCTGTCACCTTTTGAAAGGTGGTATGCCCGAGTTCTCCGGCGCATTCCTCCTTTGCTGAAAAAATCAATCATGGCTCGCCAATTTCTCTGCAATGCGTTTGAACAACTTGATGCTCATCCTAAAACGGCGCCAAAAGTACGACTCGGGGTATGTGGGATTCTCCACAAAATAGTGCCTCATCAATCTGTTGTTGACATTTTCTGACGACCGATAATCGAACCACCGTGCTTCGGCTTTTTATTAACGTGCATTGCTAGGATCATTGCGAGGTCCTCCTCCTCTTGAACATCAAATTCTTCGTCAATAAAAAGCCGTTTTCTCCAGCGCGTTGTTGAGATTGCGCGTCTGTTGAAGATGCTCTAAACCACCTTACCACGGACCAGAATTCTCTACCGTAAGGCAGGATGCCGTTCGACCACTGACATATGGGCCAGGTTTAGGCCCACATGTCAGTGGCCCAACGGTACACACCATACGTCAGAGGAGCTCCTTCCCCTTATTACGGGGTCACATTCATGCAAACGATACAGCCGCTGCCCTCCTTCTTCCCAAACCCTAGTCACGGGCTCCCGGCGAGCCACAACGACGGCTGTCGATCGGCTCACAAGGGCGGCGCTAGGGATATTCTTGGATTTTCATGTGAATACACATGATTTTTACAAAACAGTGTTGATTTTGATAAAACAGTGACAATTTTTGAAAAATAACAATGATTTTAGCAAAATGAATACCCTGTTGCAAATTTCTGGAGCCGCCGCTGTCGCCTCAAGGCACCGATCCGCGAGCCCTTAGTATGCGATGACGTCAGGAGGAGGAGGAGGCGAGCATGGCTGCACGGAGCAGGGCCACCTGCCGGCGACCGACCGCCGTGGCCGCGACGAGGACGCCCCTCCCCATTCCGCGCCGCCATTCCCCTTCTCCGAAGCAGCGCTCGAGGTATGTGCCCCTCCTCTTTCTTTCCTCCAATCCGGAGTCCAACAAAGGGAGCCGAAACGAACCGTCTCTTCCGTTGCAGATGAAGAAGAAGCAGAAGCTGGTGCAGCAGCCCTCGCCGGAGATCCCCGACAGTGCGCTCGTCGAGATCCTGTCGCGGGTGCCCTACAGGTCGCTCTGCCGCTTCAAGTGCGTGTCCAAGCCATGGCTCGCCCTCTGTTCCGACCCGGACATCCGCAGGAGGTGCCCGCAGACCCTGTCCGGCTTCTTCTACAACCGGAGCGGCTGCGGCCTCAGCTTCCGCAATCTGTCCGGGAGAGGCCCCCCTCTGGTCGACCCTTCGCTCCCGTTCCTACGAGGGCGCTACGAGCGCGTCGAGATCCAGCAGTGCTGCGGCGGCCTCCTCCTCTGCAGATACCGGGACTCGTACAAAGGGCGGAACAAGAAGAAATTCGGGTACGCTGTGTGCAATCCTGCCACCGGGGAATGGACTGTGCTGACCCTCATTGTTTTGCCGGACCCGGTGGACGGCGTTCCTGTGATCTACAATGTGAACGATCTCTTCCTGGGGTTCGACGCCGCCGTTCCGTCCCGCTTCGTGGTGTTTGCGCCCCTGAGCAATTCTTTCGGCGAGTTCGCGCAGGTGGCCATCTTCTCATCGGAGACTAGGCGGTGGGCTTCCGTGGAGAGCGAGTGGCCTTACAAAACCGTTCTTCTTGGTGGTACGGCTTGTGCCTACCTGAATGGCACAATGCATCTGACTACCCATAGTGGTACAATAGTCAGTGTCGACGCGGAGGGGGAGACTTGGAGGGAAATTGAGGATGGCATGGAGGAGTACCGTGAGGTTGTTTCTATTGGGCATTCTCAGGGCAGCTTGCATGCTTGGCTGATAGATAATGATAAGGATCCCGAACTCTGTGTTTGGGTTCTTGAAGATTATGGTAGTGGAAAGTGGACCCTGAAGCACACTGTTGAGATATCGGAACTTTTCGGGAGGCAGCCGGACAAAGACGAAGCGTGTTATAGCATGCTTGCAATCCATCCAGATTGTAATTTGGTTTTCCTCACCGACAACAAGAAGATGACAGTGTCGTATGATATGGATACTCGGAAAGTTGATGTTATCTGCACTTCTGGAGAATTACTGGTTGGTGCACCTTATGTTCCTTGTTTTGTGGAAATGTCGGCAGGTGGTCACTGAGAGTCGCTGCTGCTTTCATGTACTTGAAGTGGAAGTACTTCACAAATACCAGTTGTTGGGTATGAGCCTAAGTGTCTTGTTTTGTGGACTGGCTTGGAAATGTCTCAGGCTCTTAGCTCCTATGTCTACTTCAGTTTGTTCTTCCTATCTGTCTGTGTTCAGAACTTCAGATGTGTGCCATTTGTGGCTTTGAACATCACTGGTTAGCCATACAGAATTTCTGTGGAACCGTCTGATGGGTCATTATCGAGGTCACTTTGTTAGCTCCTCACGTGGGCTAAATTTGACATCTTATCTATCTGAATCTCATTTCAATTGTCTTTAATATGCAACTCGTTATCCATTGTTTTAAGTAATTATTAAGGTCATGATATTTCTTCTGCGTTTGGGAACATCACTCTCTTGTCTGTTTTTTGTTTTGAAATTTTTAATCTTTATCAGTGATGTGATATTGTGCCCTGACCTTTCTGTATTATGCATAGAAGGTAAGGTAAAGAAATCCGCTTGGTGACAATCATTATGCAGCTGAATAGAGCTACAGTAGATGGTTATTTCTCACTTTTCTTAGTAGAACAGAATAATTGTTGGGGCAGAGAACAGAATGTCTGAGGAACCTTCTGATGGGTCATTTCTCAATGATTATTTTCTTATTGGGTTTTGACAGATGGTATTATAATTGGGGAATCTTCTTGTCCATTATCTAGCATACTTAATATCCTTCTGTAATCCTCTGAGTCACTGTAACTTCAAGATCCCAGCAAGTTAACTATCTCTTCTTGGATTAGGAAGCTGCATATGTAGCACCGGTACTATCTTCTTTTTAGGCAAACACACCTTTACTACCTGCAGCTCTAGTATGCATTGGACACCTTAAAAGTATTTTAACATAAGTTGTAACCTGGTGTTTATTGTCATTCAAAATGAAAAAGATAGAAAAGCGTCCTACAATTATTATTATTTTGAAACCAGGCAAAAGATTTGCCATTTTCATTAAATAAGAGAGGAGGTTCAGACATATGTCGCAACGCGACCAAAAGAAAAGAGCAACGATGTAACCGCCTCACCGCCTTTTGCCACCAAACTACAAATTTATTTTCAGTTGATCATTTAAGCCATGCAACGATGTTCTTTTCCTTGAACGAAATCTGAGAAATTAAATTACAATGTGGCTTTCTCTATATCATCCAAAGAAATAGCAAGCATGCTGAGCAAGAGCTGAGTGTGATTGACTCCATGCTAACACGGGGAGATCAATTGCCAGGTCTAAATCCAGGGATAAACAAGCCTCTCCTCTTTTTTCTTGAACTACACAAATTATCACATTTTCCGGTAAACCACCCTTTCAGAACCAGGCTATAGATTGCAGAACTGTTTTGTGTCCCGTGTTTCTGAATTTTTTTTTTTTTGCGAGAGAAATTTCCAATCTATTTATCAATCATGGAAGTACAGAGAACACAAGAGGTAATAAAAATTACAACTAGGTCTATGGACCACCTAGCGACGACTACAAGCACTGGAGCGAGCCGAATGCGCGCCGCCGTCATCACCCCTCCATCACCGGAGCCGGGCAAACCTTGTTGTAGTAGACAGTCGGGAAGTCGTCGTGCTAAGGCCCCAAAGGACCAACACACCGGAGCAGCAACCATCGCCGATGAAGAGAGTTGTAGATTGGAAAGATCAAACCTGGAACCACACGAACGAAGACAAACAAAAACTGGATCCAAAGAGATCCACCGAAGACCAGCACCGACCGAATCTCATGAGATCCGACGGAGACACACCTCCACACATTCTCCGACAACGCTATTCGCACCATCGGGACGGAGATAGGACGTGGGAGACATTATTGCTACGGAGGGACATCGCCGCCGCCAAACAGCCCCAACCAAGACGTTCAACCTAGCAAAAACAAGAACGGGGTCCCTCCCGCCGGCGGGGGGCCGAGATCCTCCGCACCTCCATAGGCCAAAGGCCATCGGAGGCGGGGCGGATCTGCGGCGGCGCCGACGGGAGGAGGAAGGAGACGTTTCTTGTGGTGGAGGAAAGGGTTCTCTAGTCAAGTAATATTTTTGACACAACTCACATGTATAGGGAACTCTAACCTGCAAATTATATCAAATGATATGATCATCTGCATCTTGCATCGTGTCTTCTTTCAGTAGGACACATATTTTCCGTAATTTTCTGGAATTCTCAAATTGTCCATGACCTAGGGAGTCTTATGGGTGGTCTAGAGAGCTGGAGTAGGAACAAAAGGGAACTGTGGTTGGACGGGAGTACATGTTAAAAAAAACAAGACTTTGCCCGAAAAGGGCCGGCACTGGCACAACGGCCCAGTGCGGCTTTTGGAGCTTTTCATTTTGAATGACAATAAACAGGGAGCAACTAGTTAACGAGCGCTCCTTCGGGACTCTCGCAACGACCAGCGTCATTTGGCGCGCTCTCAGCCATTCGCCATGTGTCGCGCTCTGGACGCTCTCTTTGGATTTTTTTTTATTTTTCCGCACGCGTTTTCAGCTTTTTAAACGGTTTTTTTTCTGGGTTTTTTCGACGTTTTGGTTTTCTTCCGGTCTTTCTTAGCTTTTCGATCAAAAAAAATTCAAAAAAAAATTTCCTGCGAAAAAACGCATTTTCTTTTTTTCCCTTTCGCAAAAGTCACGGTTTTTCTTCCGCGAGAGGCACGGTTGTGATTTATCGAGAGTCACGGCCGTGTCTTTCGAAAACGAAAAAAAACATGTTTTTTGTTTTTTTTCTTTCGCGAGAGTCACGGTTTTGCTTCCGCGAGAGGCACGGTTGTGCTTTCGCGAGAGTCACGGCCATGCCTCTCAGAAAGGGAAAACAAAACGCGTTTTTTTTTCTTCTTTCGTGAGAGTCACGATTTTGCTTCCGCGAAAGGCACGGTTGTGCTTACGCGAAAGTCACAGCCGTGCCTCTCGGAAAGGGAAAAAATACGCGTTTTCTGTTTTTTTCTTTTGCGAGAGTCACGTTTTTGCTTTCACGAGAGGCACGGTTGTGCTTTCGCGAGAGTCACGCATGTGCCTCTCGGAAACGAAAAAAAAACGTGTTTTCTATTTTTTTTTTCTTTCATGAGAGTCACGATTTTGCTTCCACGAGAGGCACGGTTGTAATTTTGCGAGAGGCACGGGCGTGCCTCTTTCGGAAAGGGAAAAAAACTGTGCTCCTGGTTCGGTTTTTTCGCCCGGTTTTTTGTCCGATTTTTCGTAAAAAAAAGTTCGTCAAAACCTATCAACATGAGATCTAGTTTTAAAGATCTCGACATGAGGAATCCAATGGTGAAAACGGTTCGAGATTTAGATACACGGTTTAAGAGATAAAACGTTTTAAATAAACAGATCTACAAAAAAAGGGAAAAGTCCCAGGTTGCGACAAGTGGCGCGCTGCATGTGCGCTACTTGTCGCGACCTGGAAAATGGCGCGCTGCATGTGCGCTACTTGTCGCGACATGGGAAAATGAAGTGTTCTTTGCAGCGAATATTTTTTAATTAGTAATTTCGCAATAAACATCAGGGTTGTGCCTCCGGTCCTCTCGGGTGGGCCGGCATTTCCGTAATCGTGACCTCCAAAACGTGACCAAACGACATGGAAAACACGATTCTGCCTCCGGCACCCGATAAAGATATTTTTCCTTTCCGGCGTGGAAATGCTCTTTTTCATCTACAGTACAAAACAAGAAAACAAGACGTAATTTTCAGTGGTGTGCCGACCTGAAGCAGCCAGCCAGCCAGCCAGGATCCACAAATGTTACATCACGGGATAAACGCTAGCTAGCTAGCCAGTGCTGCTTCTCGCCACGTCTCTGTGCCTGCCCGATATTTTTTTCCCTTTCACGAAAGAGAAAATATCGCCCGTGCATGCGCTTTTATCCCGGGCTCCTGACACATAGGCAGGATTTATCTCTCGGCTTCCATTTTCGAAACGCGGCAAAGATCTTCGCCAGCCTTTAATCTGCGCCTGCCCAGAAGAACATATATCCGCACAGCGCGCCGTGCTAGCTAGCAAGCATTCCTGGCTCTCCCGTCAAGCACCACGCACGCACATCGCCAGGCTCAGGGCTCCTGCTGGCTTGCTCCCGGCCGAGCGCTCAGGAGGGAGGAGGCGATGGCGGCCGTGTTGGACGCGTGGCGCAGCAAGAGCGCGGCCATCACGTCGTGGTGCGTGTCGGCGCTGTGGAGCGGGCTCAGGCGAAGGCACCGGCGGACGGCGTACGCCCTCGGAGCCGGTGGGCTCAAGCTCAACTACGACGCGCTCAGCTACGCCCAGAACTTCGACGACGGGAGCTGCCCCGGCGAGTGCGAGCCCGACTTTACGGCCAGGTTCGCGCCCGCTGGAGCGCGGAGGCCGTCGATCACTTGCTGTCCTTAGGAGAGCTAGCTCATCGCTGTTTGTAGTTCCGGCCCGGCGTGTGTGGTGGTGGTGGTATTGTTGTCACCTTCCAAGTATGTCTCTCTCGCGTGCGTGTCTAGTTACTCTTGGTAGTAATCGAGGTCATGCTAGGTCTATATATCTTGGCTGGATGGGTGTGGGTGTGCGTGTGCAAGTATTTAGAGTGGAGGAACCAATATTGTTTGGATTATGTGGACCGATGAGCTCAAAGTTACTGTGCATACTGCTTTTCACTATATTTTAGCTAATGTAGTTCACGTGGCGTCTGGGGTCAGCTTTTGTCTCATTTGTATATATGGTGACCCCTATCATAAGCAGACTAATGTCATCTGGGACCAAGTAGCGTCTTTTGTTTATGATAACCTAAGTAAGCCCATGGTTTGTATGGGAGACTTGAATGATATCCTGTATGAAGTCGACGGTTGTAATGGCAATATCAACTACTACCGTATGCATGCCTTTCGTTCTATTGTCAAGAACTGTGGCCTTTTCGATATTGGTTATAGTGGTCCTGCTTACACTTGGCGTGGTAGACAAAATACTTCCAAGCCTATTCATCGTCGTCTAGATCGTTGTTTGGTTAATTCTGATTGGTG